TATTCTTCTTCTATATATTGTATGATTGGTCAATACCGCACTTATTGTGGCAGGCCCACTGACAACTGCAGCAGCTGTGTGAACAGGAAGGCTGATTTGAACCAGTGTTTGAATGCAGCTGCAGAGAAGGCTGAGCACACTAAAAGCAACATGCTGCTCCTTAGAAACGGCCACGCTCTAGTCACCTTGGGAACTCACACCCTACCACTGCAGCCAGTCTACCCACATCTTTATGTGTCTGTACTGCAGTGGTAAAGGAAGAAGGCTGCCACTTATCACACTAAATGTTGCAAAAATACAAGCCAGCTGGTGCATGCAGGCACTTCTCTTTACTTCTAAACCACACAAAGAAGTAGTGCATCATCTCAACTCTCTAGAGGATATGCTGAACCATGCAAGTTCCACCAAAGGAAGCACAACCACCCACAATGACTTAGGAAAACCTGCCTCTTCCACCTCAGAGCTTCTAGCGCACTGCAACAGAATCTACATAAACCCATCCTGCTGTACTGAGAGCAACAGCACAGTAAAAGGTGCTGTTTACATCGATGACTTCAGGAGCTTCACCCATCGCCTGCAGCTCCGCACCTAACTGCTGCACAAATCCATATTCTGGTATTGGTGATCAATCAATGAGTCAGAGCAGAACTAGCAGCTCACCTTGGCGGGGCCGATGATCATGCCATTCCAGTGAGTTAGCGTCATGTCGTCGTCATCTGCGAGGCCCCAGCTCACTGTGCCATCTCCGCCTCCCTTTTGGCCTTCTTCCAGCTCCTCCAGCAGCCGAAAGCTGCGGGGAACCACGATGGCTTCAAGCACACACAGAAAAGGGCATGATTACATGACTTGTGTCTGATCAGACGCTGGGAGAACATTCAATCAGAGCACTTCCCTGAACAGACTTAGGTGAGCACCTACAGTAGGTTAAGCTGAAGGATAGTGTATGTTAAAAAAAAGAAATAATAATAACCTGTGTGTCTGCAGTATATATATATAACTTACTATTTAAAAATATATTTTTAAATCAGTAATATCTGTCATTGATTCCTGCTCAAACATAACATCTATCAACCTCCTAACCATACTAAAATGGCTCAGTTTTGTTAGTTTAATTCAATTGTTGGTATTATTATTATTCCGTGTCAAAAGAGTCTAGATGTGATGTATGAGCAATGTGCATTGTTAATAATAATAATAATAATAATAATAATACATTTTATTTAAAAGAGCGCTTTTCTG